CAGAGAGCCTAATGTGGGGCTCAACCCCAGGACCCTGAGATCATGACCTGAGCCGAAGGCAGAGGCTTAGCCCACTGAGCCACCCAGGAGCCCCAAAGAAAATTTTTATTTATTTATTTGAGAGACAGGGAGAAAGCATGAGTGGGGCAAACTATGAAGGGAGAGAGATAAGCAGACACCCCACTGAGCAGGGAGCCTGATTTGATGAGGGGGATCAATACCAGGACTCCAGGGTCATGACCTGAGTTGAAGGCAGATGCTTAACCAACTGAACCACCCAGGTGCCCCTCTGTTACCCTTTCAATTGATTGATTTTTCTCCTTATATGGGCTATTTTTCCCTATGTGTTTTGTTTGTTTGTTTGTTTGTTTGTTTGTATGCCTGATCATTTTTGATTGGATGCCAGAATTTTGTGAATTTTATCTTGTTGGGTGCTGGATATTTCTGATTTTCTATAATGCTGTTGTACTGGTTTTGGGACACTTTGTTCTTGGAAATGGTTTGATTCTTTTGGTGCTGGCTTTTAAGATTTATTTGGTAGGACCAGAACAGTATTTACTCTATGATCATTTTTACCCCACTACTAAGACAAGACCTATTGAATCATGAATTATGAGGTTTTTTTTTTTAAGATTTTATTTATTTGACAGAGAGAGAGATCACAAGCAGAGAGAGAGAGAGAGAGAGAGAGGAGGAAGCAGGCTCCCTGCCTAGCAGAGAGCCTGATGTGGGACTCGATCCCAGAACCCTGAGATCAGGACCTTGAGCTGAAGGCAGAGGCTTAACCCACTGAGCTACCCAGGCAGCCCCAATTATGAGGTTTCTGATCTGAGTGCCAAGATCAGGTCCTATTCCTGGTCCTATATAATCACTGGGTATCTTTCCACTCTGATTTGTGGGAACAGAACTATTCCCTGCGCTGTGCAAGCTTTGGTGATTGTTCTCGCCCTCTGTCTGGGTGGCTTTTTCCCTGGCCACGGGTAGCTTCCTCACACTCACACAATCAGCTGAAGACGAACAAGGCCTTCTGTAGGTAACCAGAGCTCCTCTTTCACTGTATAGTTCTCTTCTCTCCGGCACTCAACCCCCAGCTCCCACTGTTTTGCCTTTCCCCGTCTCCCAGTTCTATTTCCTCAACGCAGGGTGTCTGTTTAGCTCTTCCTTGATTCTCCTCTCTGCACTGGCTTCCTGGCCACTCTCTCAGGCGGTAAGCAGAGGCAATCAGAGTGCTTACCTCATTCATCTGCTCTCCCTTATGAACCACTGTTCTGCATTTCTGCCTATTTATTTACTTTATTTAGTTGTTTTAGTAAGAGAGTAAATTCAGTCAATGTTGTTCCATCTTGGCTGGCTAGACTGGATTAATATAAATGATTGTTATTCTGTTGATAAAACAGATTGCTGTGTCAACTGTTTCCAAAACAGTTCCCATCAGGTAACCTGAAACATCTTGCACAGCAATCCACATCTCCTGCAAGTACAGTACATCCTTGTGCAATGTGTGTTACAGAAGAGTTGCCTATAAATAAGGTCTGTGTAAGATAATCTGATTTTTCCCTCTGCTTTCCATTTGCATTCCTGCAGTGCTCTCTCTACATCATTTCTCATCACTTTTTCTTTAGCTATGACTTCAAACTCTGAGACTTTCCTTTGTCGCCCCCCCCTTTTTTCTTTTTCGCTAGGGACCAGTAATCTATACACAAAATGTCATGATGTTGGGGGATTAGAATTCATCGCATTCTTGTCAACACAGTCCTTGAGTACTCAGTGCTTAACTCAGAGTTAAGGTCTGTGTGGGGTAGAATAGAGGCAGGCTTCAGCTTTAAACCAGCTCAGTCTTTTTTTTCCCCCATATGAATAGCTACTTCTACAGTTTTGGATTGTTTTAAAAGGCCACCTCTGCATTTTGAGATGGACTTAGAAGTAGAAAGTTCAAGAAAAGGAATTCTTGTTTTCCTTCCTGCTCCTCAGGTTCAACAATATTTACTGAGTGTTTATTACAACACTGCTATTGTATTAGCTAAGAGACTGAGACAAGTCACTGACATTGATGATTTCATAACATTATGGAAGAATGACATATATTGATAAAGACACAAGGTGTGGCACTGCAGTAAATCTGTGAGATTTCACAGAAGGGTGTGATTACTGAGGGCTGGAGAGATTAGGGTAGGTAGGCTTGGAGACCTAGTTCAAGAGGGAACTATGGAATTTAGGAAAATGTGGTGTGAGCACAATTAGGAGTATGGGAGCCCATGGTTTGAGGAGAGACAACCAGAGAGGCTGGAGTAGGAGCTTCTACTGGAGAACAGTGGGGGAAGTAGAGGAGGTCTTATGTGCCAGGCTTGGCATTTGGGCTGTGAGAGCTCTGGATGATTTTTGATGGGAGGACATGGAAGGTATGTTTCCATGAGAGGGTTAGGGTTGATGTGTGCAGAGCTGATGAAGACTGGTGGCAGGGGTGTGAGTTCAGGGACTATATTATGACTTAATCATCTTTGTATTCCCATCTGCTGGTTCAAACTTAATGCTTGTTGCTAAGGTGCGTGTAAAAGGTGATCCTTTGCTTTCCAAATTACTAATATTCTTGATAATCACTGGCCTTGTCATGGCATGACGAATATTGTGAAAGAACTTCTTTGTGCCCCATGAAGAATTAAAGGTAGGCAAATTTGGACTCAGGCTCTTTCAAGCCTCGTTTCTCTTTCAACTCATTCTGTTCCAAGGCACTCAGCCATTGTTACAGAAATTACACAACAGGGTCGCTCCCAATCCCCACCTCCCCCAACCCTAAAAATTTCGGCATATTCTTACAAATCTCCTAAGACAGACCACACATGCACACGGGAACCAAAGAGCCCAAGCGAACACTCCCAAAAGAGCCTGAGGCCGGGACAGACTTCCAGATGTGCGGAATCGACACAATGTAGCCCGAGCCGCGCGTGCACAACACCTTCACGTGACTCAGCACCGAGGCAGAGTAACCGATTAGGCACTCACTCTCCATTATTGCCCCACCCGGCCCTGGCGTGCGCAGGTTCCACGCCGATCCGCACGCGGAGCCCGGGAGCACCCCCTCCCCCCAATTCCGGCGCCCACGGCCTCTCCGATGCTCCGCTCACTGGCGGGCGCCGGTTGCGTCATCGGGACGCGACATTGCAGTAGCACCGGCGGAGACTTGAAGTGCCGGCAGCTGCAGGAGCGAAAGCCGGAGCTGGCGGAGCTGTCGGGTGCAGACCGCGAGGGCGAGAGCGGCTGCGGGACGCTGCTCGGGCCCAGAGCGCCGCGACAGGTGCGTCGTCGCCCTCTCCGCTGGACCCGGCGCCACGCCGGCAGGTTGTCCCATCTCCCCGGAGCTGCAGGACCCCCCCCCCCCCCCGAGAAATGGGCCCGGCTCGTGCTGGATGGGGGTCGGGCTGCGGCATGGGTTCCCCTGGGCGGGACCGAGGTTCCTGTGGACTGAGTAGCGTACGCATCTGAAGGCATCGTGGGGGCATTGGCTTTCAGGCAGCTGGGGCTTGTGCTGGGGACAATCCCATGACACTTACCCAATGACTGGCCTGAGCGCACGCCGTGTGCCAGACTTTGTGTTAGGCGCGTTATAGGTACTGTCCAGCCCTCCCAGCAACACCAGGAGGTAAGATCTATCATAATATGCCCATGTTCCAGATAGGGAAACCAAGGCGTAGAAGTTAACCAACTTGTTCAAAGTCAGCACAGATGGTCAGCAGTGGGGGATTCGAACTTGTGGATGTTTGGCCTAAGAGCTGATCCCCCTATCTCTGTTCCTTTAAAAGCCCAGAGTGGGTTCCCCTCAGCTAATAGTCTGGCGCGTCCAGATTTCGTTTTAGTTCTCGACCTTGGATAAACGCTGTAGGGAGGGAGGAGCGAACCGTGACTTCCTATTGGCACCCGACTCTCCCTCCACTACTCCCATCGCTGGGGCCAGCAGCGACTTCTTTTTCTCAGGCAGCAGTGGAGCTCCCCCTGTTGTAGCTACATTCTGCTTGTGAAACTGATAGCTGATTTATTTCATAATAGTGAAGAGCTTTCAGGCCAGGTGCATTGCTTTGCTAACCTCTCAACTGGCCTATTATGTTAGGTTGATGTCATGTTAATTTGTTAAGGACGTACTATATGGTTGTGCTGAGAATAGTAGTTACCGCAGCAAACCCATATGGGAAGTAACGCTGTTACCCCGGACGTGATCTTTCAGAGTTTTAAAGGAATAATTTAAGGCAGGGTGAGAAATAGTCACAAGCTAAAGCAATTTGAGAATTATGTTAGGGGGTTTTTGTATTTTAGGTTAATCTCTGCTTTCTTTAGCAGTTCACTGTTAATGAACATTTTCCATTAGGGTACGAAAAGCCTTATTGAGAATGATGAAAACTTTTAAATCAGATATTTCAAGATGGCGTGGTTTTGATTTAGAACTTCGTAGGTGTATTAAAAGTGCAAATATCATTGCACTTAAGGCATCGCAAGAAAACTGAGAGTTTAATTCACTTTAAGTGGGAAACTCTAAAGGTTCCCTCTTTGCCTTCACCATTTTTACACTGCATATTATGTATGACCAAGAATTCCCAGCACATAATTTTAAAAAATTATCTACTTGTGCACATATACGTAACTTCTACTTAATTAAACACATACCTTCATCCTCCCAGGAACCTCCCAGTTGTTAATGGAAATGAAATAATTCTTTGTCACCTACCTCAAATAAGCTGTTATTTACCCTTGCACGTTCGTGGCTATTTTATTCAGGAAATCTAAAGTTACAAATTTTGATTAAAAAAAAAAAATCAGAATGGTCTACCAGAGTTGCTGAGTTTAAACACATCAAAGTCTGCTTTTACACGTTGACTAAACATGGTACACATCCACCAGTAGTTCATTTGATATCGTATGATGGATCAAAATAATGTTGAGGTCAGAATTTTGAGTTTTGGTCTTTACTCTCTGTATTAGTCATTAATTTAAATGGTGTATATTTTTTATAGCACATGATTTGGGAGTTACCTTTTGTGACATGGATGAATCTGCACTGACCCTCGGCACAATAGATGTTTCTTATCTGCCAAATTCATCAGAATACAGTGTTGGTCGATGTAAGCATGCAAATGAGGAATGGGTAAGTTTAATACAGGTTAGAAGCATTCAACCTAAAGATGTTTGTTTCAGTATTGTTTATGAAGGTAGCTGGAAGCGACATAATATCAAATAGAGGTTAATAGTTAAAGAGACTTCCTCCAGCGTTAGAAGATATGTTTATGGAGCCTAATATTTAAACATTCTTAAGGTATTTTGTTAATTGGGAAGAAGAAATTGGGTGGGATATTTAAGCACAGTGATTGTGTTAAAAAGCAAAATACTTTGCAAAGAAAAAAGAACCTACTAGGAGTTGTTTTGGGTAGTATACTTATAAAGATACTTTCTGTGTCTATTTTCTGTAATAAGTATGAATCTTGTAATGGAAATAAGGGTTTTTAAAAAGATAAAAATAGGAAATTTAGTATGAAAATCAATTCAAAGGACTTGCATTTTGTATTTTTTTTTCTATTTTGACATAATATGTCATGTTTAAAATATTTCTTGAACACTATCTACTTTATATAAAAAATGATGGGAAGTTTTGGGATTTTTTTTTACTTATTTTTGAGAATGTTGTTATCAGTGGGATATGAGCAACTAATGAGCAAGTTGTTATACACAGCTTAAAATATTTTACTTTGAATAAAAAACAAGGTAAACTTACATAACATTCCTTTAGCCTGACAACAGAGTTTAAAGTTTAAATCATAGAGTTTAAATCCTAGCTGTATGTATTGTCCAATTAGGGTCAAATTCTGCTCCTTTGTTCTAAACATTTTGCTCATCGAGTTCATTAGCTGTTCATATCCCAAAGCTAAGGCTTTGTACTACTTTTGTGGGAGTCTGTGGTTGAAGAGGAACAAGATTAACTGTTAGCATATGGATCCAGGAGTCTGGTTTTATTCATCCTGCTGCTTTCACGGGCTTTTTAACGTTGCTCAACTGGTTTTGAACCTCTGAGTGTGCAGCAGTCCTTGCTGGCTACTACTGTTCTTAGGTTCTCAATTTTTGCTTATGTTCCAAGTTTTGTTTCAAGTGTTGATGATGTAGGGGAGTAGTACCATGAAGGAAAATCACTCTGAGAAACTTACTACCAAACAAAACCCAAGTGTAGGTTTCTCTTATATCTGAAATATCTTAGTTTTCGAGATCAGGTGGACAAATACGGTTCTCTTGCCATTCAAACACTTTTTTCCCCCATTAACATTTTTTAGGGTGAGTGTGGTTTCAGACCTACTGTCTTCAGATCTGCAACCTTAAAATGGAAAGAAAGCCTAATGAGCCGAAAAAGACCATTTGTCGGAAGATGTTGTTATTCCTGTACTCCTCAGAGCTGGGTAAGAATGTTACTGCTTATTGACCTTTAATAAACAGAGTGAAATTCCAACTTTGTGTGAATTTTATTATTGGATAGCCTTAATGAACTTAATTCATTTTTTGAACTTCAGCCCATGTTTATAAACCAAATATTCCAAGTAGTGATGTCGACTTAGTTTTTTTTTCCATTCATTTACTCAGTAAATAGTGGTCAAACAGTTGATGCTAAGTGATAATTTGGTTCTTTTTTAGTTTAGTTTGTTTGTTTGTATTTTTAAGATTTTATATATTTGAGAGAGAGAATGGGAACACACTTGAAAGAGGGAGAGAGGACGAGGAGGGAGAAAGCAGGGGGAGAAGCAGGGAGGCCAACAACAAAGGTTTATTTTTTCAGGTTAGTATGACTTCAGAAGAGCAGATCTTACTTTTAGATCGGTCTTCTTTTTTCATTTTTTATTTTTAAGTTCAATTAGCCAATACATAGTACATCATTCGTTTTTGGTGTGGTGTGCAGTGATTCATTAGGTGCTTAACACCCAGCGCTCATCAATAGCATGACTTCCTTAATTCTAAAGAGTTGGTGGGAACCTTTGTATAACTTCTAGATGCTGAACTTTCTTTTTTTCTTTTAAAAGATTTTATTTATTTATTTGACAGAGATCACAAGTACGCAGAGAGGCAAGCAGAGAGAAAAAGGGGGAAGCGATTCCCCGATAAGCAGAGAGCCCGATGTGGGGCTTGATCCCAGCATCGATCTGGGATCATGACCTGAGCCGAAGGCAGAGGCTTTAACCCACTGAGCCACCCAGGTGCCCCTAGATGTTGAACTTTTGACTCACGGTTAAAATCCTAGTGAGATGAGCAAGAGATAGCAGGACAGAGTGAAGTTTTAAAGCTGTGACTTTGCCCCACTCTCCTTTTCCTCAGTTTCTGTTAGGGGGGATGGGTAGGGAGGGTGGGTGTTTGTATTTTGGTGAAATAAACACATGTCATGCAAAATCTTCCACATTACAGTGTCGTATTTGAGAAGAGTCAGTTGGATGGAAGGCAAGCCTCTGCTGGTAATTTGCTAGGGGGATGAGTTAGCCGAGGAATGTAGAATCGAATTTGGCTGTGTTCTTGGGCAGTACAGTTACCTTTTAAAAGGTATACTTGGATGTTAATGCTTTCTCTGGGATGGGCCAGTTATCAGGACAGAAATTCTGCCATTTGAGTGCCTTTTATTTATAGACATTATATGACCTGTGTGGATAGCTAACCGTGCTGTGTGAATTTTCTACTCAGGGTCGGCTTGGCAGGAGGTAGAATTCTGAGTGCTATAAAGGGATTCACTAACTTGGGAAAGATTTGTGTGAGACCCAAGCAATTTATGTTAAATATTCTGGTCTGCTCAAGAATGTCTAAATTATAAATATTGTTCCTTTTAAATCACAAGTGCCTTGTTGTGGGAATTTGGTAGAATTGAATGACCACAATATTTCTAGTCTAAGAATAAGGCCAGTTCAGATTAGTAGGCCAGTAGAAATACAATTTTTTTTTAAAGATTTTATTTATTTGACACACAGAGAGAGATCACAAGTAGGCAGAGAGGGGTGAAGCAGGCTCCTCACTGAGCAGAGAGCCGGATGTGGGGCTCAATCCCAGGACCCTGAGATCATGACCTGAGCCGAAGGCAGAGGCTCAACCTACTGAGCCACCCAGGTGCCCCAGAAATAAAATTTAAATAAATGATCATATGGCTTTTCTTTTTAGACTGGTATCTTATCTAATTTTAATTTCAAATACTTAAAAGATCAAAATAATACCTTGACTTTAATGTGTTCTTTTTTTTTTTTTTAGAAGATTTATTTATTTTAGAGAGAGAGCACACGTGCATACATGCATGAGCATGGGGGAGGGGCAGAAGGAGAAGGAGAGAAAATCCCAGGCAGATTCTGTGCTGAGCACAGGGCCCAACGAGGGTTCATCCCAGGACACCGCAATCATGACCTGAGCCAAAACCAAGAGTATGAAGCTCAACAAACTGATCCTCTCAGGCGTCCTGACTCTAATGTGTTCTTAAATCAGGAGAGAGTATAGGAAATTATCTGGTGGTGGTAGTGGTGGCAGGGGTGTTTTAGGGTGGGCACAAAGGAGTTGTATAATAAATGATTTTTTGTTTAAATACAGTACCTGATGGGGTTGAACTTGATCTTAAAGTTCTTTCATGACATGTTTATTTATAATAATTTTAAACAGTACTTTCATAGTAATTTTTTGATATTTGCTACCCTTTCCCCTTCTCTGATATCCTGTTTCCTCATCTTTAAAGAGATTCCACGTAAATATTTCTACATCTTCTATTGAAGGTACATTATGCTTTCCCAGGATTTATTTGTGGAATGTTCACCTTTTTGTCCACACTGATAAAACTACAGACTTTCTCTTTCCAGAAGAGCTATCTCTGAGTTATCCTTTAAGGTTTCCTGTAAAGAGAGTGACCTTTAGCCATACATTTTCCAATTAAGTAAACAGTCATTTTAGAGAAATAAAGACTGTACTTTTTCGACCAAGATGTAAATTTGAATATTAAAACTGCCCTCAGCCTCAATTTTCCTGTCTGTAAAATGGGGATGATAATTATTGTGTCAGGATTATTGCTATATTTAATAACCTAATGATAACTACATGGTACTTAGCATGCTATTTTTGCATTTGGAGAGCACTGAAAACTCCAATATTCCCATCAATGATTTAATAAGCTCTCTGTAGCTTCAACTCTTTTGGGTTAGAGGTAGGGAGTGAGGCAGGAAAGGGAGGCAAAATTTCCTTTGCAAGGTGGTAAGCCTTATTTCTGAATTTTTGACCTTCTTTGAAGACTAAAAAATACTTTTCAATAAAACATAGTTTATCTTCATCTCTTAGATTTTTTTTTGAAGCAGTCCTTAACTTTTTACTTAATAAAAGTTATCCAGTAATGTGAGCTCTTCACCAGCCATCCGGTCATATACTCATGTCTACATTTATTTTGTTTCATGTAGGATAAATTTTTCAACTCCAGTATCCCATCTTTGGGTTTGCGGAATGTTATTTATATCAATGAAACTCACACAAGGTAAAAAGAAATTTCTTTTATTTCTAATACATCACAAAAGAATAACTACAATAATCAATGGCTATACTCTAAGAGGAATTTCTTCATCTTTTTGTGAATTAATAGAATTGAGTTTCTGACACAAGAGGTGTTATCTAAAAATCAGAAGTAGCACAGCCCCCTGAGAGATCAGTTACTATTACTACTATGTAATTATATAGTAACTATTTCATGAGAGTGTAGATATCACTTATAGCTTTCTCTTTTTATTTGCATATTGATTTTATATCTGAAGTGTGCCAAAACGTGATAAAGATTTATCTGAGGAAAGGGTAAGTTCAAATGTCTTATGATCTATTATTATTATTTTATGCTTAAAAATTGAAATCAGCCTAATCTATGGAGTTTTAGAAGATGTGTTCCTGTAGTGAGTAAATTTTTTTTTCATTTTATTACTAGCTTAAGGCTTTCTTTAGAATTCTTCCAGACATCAGGCACTTGGGAATGGGCTGTTAGGCATCCCAGTGAGAGAAAAGAGGCTTTGTTTTATGTGAATCTAGGCTAAGGGATAATGGATGGGGGAGGGGAGGTTGTATGTATGTCTGTGAGGCAGGAGAGAATGACAGCCAAAAATACTGCCTGTTCTTATAATTAATTCTAAGAGTGAATGCCTGGAAAAGGTCAGCGGTAGGTTCAGGTGATGAGACATGCTTGAAATTTTGTGAAAATTGATCCAAGAAGTCAAATACTTAAATTTGAAGGCTTTCTGCTATTACTGATCATATTTTGGTGATGAGATCGTAAATGAGCCTGACAATACCTGCGTATAACAGGTTTTTTTTTAAATAGAACCAAAGTCAAAGGACTCATGTTTTCCTATTCCCATGCTACCCTTCTCTCTCTGTCTTAAATTTAAAGGAGAGAAGAGAAATTCTAGTCCCCTGATTTTTTTTCCCCATTTTTTGACTTAAGAACCTAAGAAAAGGGATCTCATAGAGTGTCTTCTTGTTTGTGTAAGTAGCCATTTTATGTATGAAGCCACAGGGTCCATTTCTTGTCCGTAGATGAAGGCAGCTAGGAAAACAAAGCCTGCACTGTACGGTCTAGGTGATCTGAAACCAGTCCGAGTGCCGAGCTGCCCTGTGTAGCTGAGCTGGCTACTTCGCTTATCTGTGTGTCACGTGAAGCAAAGCCTAGATACTTTGCCGCACACGTACACAGCTTTCAATCCATTGCACATGGATTTCATGGAGAGCTGGGACTTCACACATTCCAGTAACTATTGTGAAAGTGTTCACTCAAGGAAGTATTTAGAATTAAACAATTAACATAGTGGGTCAAGTTTGCAGAGAATTGAGTCAAGGGAAAGGAGGTAGAAAAAGAGAATGTCAGGAAAAGAGATGAAGGAACTAGTGATTCATCAATAGTTCTTCCCCCAATTACTTTTCCTTAACTGAAGGCTTTTCAAAATTCATGAATTTATATTTGAAATCTGTCCATTTGAATGTCTTTATGGGTGAAATGATAATGAGGCATTACGTAATCATTATATATGTTTTCAAATCATTGCATATGAAGGTTTGTGACATTGTTATTCTGAGGTCTCTGTCCCCAAGCCCCCATATAAATAACATAGTTATCAAAACCAATGGAATAGGTCCTATCCATTAGATATGTCAAATGTTGGGGGGAAGAATGTAAGAACTTCTGGCTTCATAAGCCCAGTGTACAAACGTTTAGACCATGCTTTAGTTATCCTTGACTCCTCTCAACTAATCAGCTTTGTCAATTCAATATGAGAGTCAGTGATGACCTTAGATTAAAAAAAAAAATTACCTTATAAAAAAATTGGCCCTTCATTAGGAAAGACTTCTGAATGCTCTCTTTATAATTCATAGCTCTAAGTTATATAGCTTATGTATATAGCATTCAACTTACTTGCTTTTAAAAAAAGTATTAATAAGACATTTTTCTTTTGCTTTTATGTTTGGTTAATTATTTGGCAGAGTAACACCTTTCAAACATTTTAGTACACAGATTCCAAGTTTAAATTTTAGTTGAGAGTACATGAAAGATACAAGGAATGCAATTGTCTGCATAGATCATCCTGAACTACTAAGGAGAATTTGCTACAGGAGAACACCAAATTTCAGGAATAGATGAAACAAGGCTTTGCTTTTACAGCGGGGAAACTGCTGAACAAGTCAATCAATTTGTTTTAGGTCTTCCTAGACTACTTCTGTGCTAAATCTTTTTCACGTTGCAGGCACCGAGGATGGCTTGCAAGACGTCTTTCCTACGTGCTTTTTGTTCAAGAACGAGATGTCCATAAAGGCATGTTTGCCACCAATGTGGCTGAAAATGTACTGAACAGCACTAGGTAAGGGTGGGGATACTGTTAAAAGGGAAGAAGCAGGGATGAGGGGGGCAGGAGAGGGGGTAGGGTAGGAATTGCCTTCCTTTATTAACCTTTAGTTTCTCTGGGACTCTGTTTCAAGAGGATTCCCATTTCCAAATGTTAAATGTTAAACTTCAAAGGAAAGGTAGGAGAACAGATGGTTTTGGGAAAAGCAATCTTGTTTTTTGCATTAGCGTTTGAATGGATTAGTCATATGTGAAGGTGAGTTGGAATTCAGAGATGCACATATTTCCAGTTCTCTGTTAAGTTTTCTGTAATATGAATGTTTGGGACATTGTGTTTCCTGTCATTACAGCCAAAAGAGAAACACATTTGATATTTCTGTCAAATAGTTATTGAGCACCTAGGCACAAATTCTTGTGCTAGGAAATCCTTACTAGAAATTTTAAGAGAATAAGATTCTGTCCTTGCTCGCAGATTAGCTTGCTTACAAGTGGGAGAGTTATCCGACTTGAACTCACGTGGAGTGGGGAAATAAATCATTCTCAAGTTTAGGCGCTGGGCTGTGGGAGTTGGCATGAAGATCAGTCTCTGATCCGCCTCATTAGTGTTGCCGTGGTAGATGTCTACCTGGATTTGGGGAGCCAGAGGCCGGAGTGGTTTGAAAGACTGCTTAGAAATGGAGGCCCTGTAGTGTGGCTGTTGAGGCCCAAACAGTGGTGGCATATAGTAGGTGCTCAATAAATATTTATTGAATGAATGAATAAATAGTTGATAATGGAGATTTAATAATCTTTTCAATTACTTGTAAAAAATTCCTGTCCAGGTTGAAATAAAGGTATTAAAAGAATAAGCCTAGGGTGCATCAGTGTCCAGTAGAATAGTCTTTTGTATTAATGACTTAGGGAGCTATGTAGGGTTTTGCTGTGTGCTGGTCTAAAATCAGTAGCAACAGAGGGAGAAAACGTAATTATTTGAAACCCTTTGGGTTATCGTATATTCTGTTTTCTAGATAAAAACCTCCAACTATGTTTCATTCCATCCAGATGTTTTGACTAGCAACTAGGACATTAAATGATTTAAGGAGGTTTAACCTCATGTGTTCTTCCCTAAGTCACATGGAAAATTTACAAAACTAGATTAAATCTTACCTCTTACTTCACTGCTTATTGCTCTGTGTTGTTTTATCTTGAGATGTGCCTTTCTGAAATTACAGGGTTTATATGGAAAAACACATGTAAATATTTATGCCTCTCTTTGATCCTTTCTAAAGAGTTTTACATATCATTCTATTAATAAAGTCACCATAAATGAGTAATACATTAGGTCTTTAAAAGAAAAATCACACCTTACTTTGGCAGTGGATTTTGGTTAGATACCTCTGAGTTATATACCTAAAGGGGTAACTTTTCATTCTCTCCCCTCTGCTAGAGTGTAACTTTGTATCTCCTGCAGAATATCTGGAACATTCAAATTCATGTAGCCATTACCCAGTGAATTTGAGTTAAATTTTTTTTTTTTTTTTCCTTAAAGCTGCCTTCCACATTCCTCAGGGATTCACTGATTTAGGAATATAGTATCCTTAGTATTTATCAGGCCACCAAACAAAACATATCTAACTTGAGCTTATTTTCATGTTAATCACATATTAAGAAAACATATTTCATTTTGTGGTTTATAGCTATGATTTAGAAAATACTGAATGCAGAATGTAGCATAGAGCCAGTTACATTGTCTTTCTGTTTTCCGTTCAGAGTACAAGAGGCAATTGCAGAAGTGGCTGCTGAACTAAACCCTGATGGTTCTGCCCAGCAGCAGTCAAAAGCCATCAGTAAAGTGAGAAAGAAAGCCAAAAGGATCCTTCAAGAGATGGTTGCCTCTGTCTCACCAACGATGATCAGGTACTCAAAGGCAAAGCAAAAAGCTTTAAGTGATCCCATCCTGTTCTGAGCAAACAGGGACTGAACCATTGGACTTCCCTAGCACAATGGTTTTGGTCCAAAGGAAGTTTGGACATATTCTGATGTGAAAATTCCTTTTTATTTTATTTATTTTTAAAAATTTTTAGAAGATTTTATTGATGAGAGAGGGAGAGAGAGATCATGAGAAGGGGGGAAGGGTAGAGGGAGAAGCAGACTCCCCGCTGAGCAGGGAGCCCAGTGTGGGACTTGATCCCATGCGGGACTGGATCCCATGCAGGACTCGATCCCAGAACCCTGAGCTGAAGGCAGACACTGAGCTGAAGCTGAAGGCAGACACTTAACTGACTGAGGCACCCAGGTGCCCCAAATTCCTTTTTATATTCTTGTTCAGCTTCTGTGGGAAGTAGCCCTATGGTAGGCTTTAAGGTGCCTTAATCTTTCTTAACTGATAGCAGCCATTGTATGATTGCTGACATCTCTCTAGACTTGTGAGCTAGGCTTCACATATCCATATCTTTTTTTTTTTTTTTTTTTAAAGATTTCATTTATTTACTTGACAGATCACAAGTAGGCAGAGAGGCAGGCAGAGAGAGAGAGGAGGAAGCAGGCTTCCTGCTGAGCAGAGAGCCCGATGCGGGGCTCGATCCCAGGACCCTGGGATCATGACCTGAGCTGAAGGCAGAGGCTTAACCCACTGAGCCACCCAGGCGCCCCCACATATCCATATCTTAAACGGAGTGGTTTTATACTGCTTTCTGCTCGCCTAAATACTCGGTTGAGATGGTTGATGATTTACTTCTGAAGTGTAAAGGGTGCTGTTTGAGTGAAATGTAAGATTTTAGTTTGTAATGAATAGGTAAATAGAAATGTAAGATTTTGATCTGTAATAAATACATGTATCTATGAGGATGCAGGTGAAAGTCAGTTCTTTAATCCAGTAGTTCAGGTACACAGACATACACACACACTAAGTTACTTAAAAGCGCTTTTAAGTTGAAGGTTCAGAAACTTAAGTAGACAAAAGTCAGCTCTCTCTAAATGTATGTATGTACATTTAATTTTTCTTTTTCATTTTTTTTTTAACTTTTTAGATTGACGGGATGGGTGTTACTCAAGCTGTTCAACAGCTTCTTTTGGAATATTCAGATTCACAAAGGCCAACTGGAGATGGTTAAAGCTGCAACTGAGGCAAGAATTTGTGTGATCTGTCATTCTGTTGTTCCCACGTTTCTGGAGTGAATTTAGAGTTCTTTTGTATGGAAGTGTTCTCTTGTGTCCTGTGTGCATCCATCCTATTTGGAAGATTTCCCCCATATGACAGGAGCACAGTAGCTGGGCATTTGGGGAAGGGTGAGTAAAGAGGACCCACCAGTAGTGTGCTGGATTCCTTTTGTAAGTTACTGCAATAACTCTGAAATTAACTAGAGCAGTTGGTATTTACAAATGAAGAAGTAAAAGCACAGATAGGTTAAGCTTTCCCAGTCATGGCTAGTGAGTGACTGCCCAGGATTTCAAGCCAGGCCAAGCTTGACTTTAAACCCTCTGCCCTTTTGATGTGATCAGGGCTGTCCCTCAGAAGATACATAAAGGCTGCTTCAATTCTTGGTTCCCCAGCTCTTTTTTTTTTCTTTATTGTGGTGGTGGTTGTTTTCAGCGAAGGAAGTATTAAATTGGAAGAAGTTCATATTACTGGAAAATGTTTTTAAAGAATGAGTCATTGATCAGCCAGTGTTTGAGAGATTCTAACCAAAAAGGAAGTTGCAACGTGTGATTGAAGTTCACATTTGAATTTTAAATTTGGCATTTTTTCTTTTACCAGATGAATTTGCCACTTATATTTCTACCAGTTCACAGATCACATATTGACTATCTCCTGCTGACTTTCATTCTCTTCTGCCATAACATCAAAGCACCATACATTGCTTCAGGCAACAATCTTAACATTCCCATCTTCAGGTAAGACCAGTTTATTTGGAAATTTAAGGTATGGAAAAGATTATATTTTGAATTTTTGGTGTTTTCTTTATACATTTTGAAACATAGTAAAGATGACATTAGCTTTTTTTTGTTTTCATTGTAAAAGTAATGTTCATTGTGAAAAATCTAAAAGGTACCAAAAGCATTAAAACTATCTCCGTTATTTTTGTATTTTATGAGGGTTACTTGGTGAACTGTGAATACCTCAACTTCATGGGCAATATTTACCAAATGGCTAAAAGGCAGTTAGAAAGACAAGATAGCAAATTACTGTGTCAGGCGTGGCAGTAGGGAAGGTGAGGGTCGGGTATGGGTCACTGTGGCGGCAAAGAGTAAGTAAGAACAACCATATTGTTAACTCTGACCTAATAATTGAGTAGCGCTAGAAACATGTCACCACTATAACATGACAAAAAAGTGTATTTCAGAGGTTTTCAGGAGAATGCAGTGCATTCCTTTCAGAGGAAATAGTAGGTAGAGAGGCCGAGAGATTCAAATGCATGGTACTGTCAGGAAATGGCAGATGATTCCGTAGGGTTAGAATGCGGGATGCAGTGGGAAGGGTCAGAGGCTAGAAGTGGTCATTGCATACAGTGTGAGAGCTGGTTCAGAACAGTTTTTAAGCCAAGAGTTTAGAGTGTATCCCATCGTTGAAAAATGGTCTGCTTTGCATTTTGAAAAGTCATTCTGCATTGGAGGGTGTTAGAGATATTCTGACTCTATTATAGCAGCTAAGGCAAAAGATAATGAAGGCTTAGATTAAAATCTGTAGAGATGCTCCTGGTGAGGAAAGCGTAGAGTGGGAAAGTGTTTAGTAAGTTGAGTTTATAAGATGAAATGCTAGTCCAGAGACGGGGAGATGCGGGAGGAAGGGATCTGGGTAGATAGAGGGGCTGATCTCCAGCGGGGAGTGGGTGAGGCGTAGATTGAGGTGGTTGGAGACATCGAAGGTTCAAATTCCAAAGCACAGAGCAGCCGTGACGTCAGCTCTGAGCAATAGGGAGTACGAGGAGGATGGATTTACAGTAACTGGAGGGCGAGTGGCTGGAGGGTGTGCACGTAAGGTCTCGCAAAGTGGCCATGATGACTTGTGTGTGCCGTGAAGTATGAGCCTCAGCCTCACAGTCCAAGGAGCTCCTTCCTAACCCACTGGCTCAGAGCTCTGCGGATACCTGGACTCACGGGGATGGCTGAAGGGAAGGCATTGGTTCGTGTCGTCAGCTGATACTTACCCTGCTGTGCTTCAGGCAAGAGTGAAAAGGTTACGTAGTCTTTGCCTTCAACTAGTTCGTAATCTGGGGACTATAGACAAACAGCTATAATGCAATGCAATACACCCCTATGGGGCAGACATGCTTCTCTAGGGACGAGAATAACTGTGTTTACTCTTGTGGGGGCCTCTTCCCAATCCTGGGGAAACTGGGAAGTTGCATTAGAAAGTCACCAGACAGTTGGTAGCAGGCATAGACTTAGAGCCAAGAGGACCATTCCTTTCGGGCTTTAGGGAGGTCCTGCCCCATAATATAATAGGTTGCCTTTCCTGTCATCAGAATGACTCCTGTACTCATTCCCTCCAGGTTCTCAGCTTACAAGTGCTTCTGGAGGGATCACTTCGAAATGGATGTTAAAAATCGATAAGTTCTCATAACCCTTCCCTTTTCATGAGCTCTGTGCCAGTCGGTGCTTAGCTCATCCGTCCTTCAGATGCGACAGTTGATGACCTGGCCTGTTTGTTGGCAGCTGTCTTTTCAACCACTTTTCAGTTTCTGTGGAAGGTTCAGCTCATTCATTATGAACTTTTCTGTGGTTCTGCTCTCAGAGAGTGATAGAAGATACTGAAATTATATAGCGATATGATATTAATACCACTCTATGTGAAAAGCATAAGAGGAGGCTCTGAGTTTGGAAAGGTTGCCTTAAGTATTATAAAGTTTCATCTCAATATCAAAACCTGTCACTGTCATAGAAAGAACCATGGGATTGAAAAAAATCATCTTATCCCTGTGTACATGCACATTGAAGCACATTTTTGTTTCATGTTTTGGGGAAATGGTTATGCTTGGTTTTGGTTTGATAAAATTATCCTTGTCTCAGAGACACTGTCTAATGGTACTTTCTTGAGAAAACTTCCCCAAAGGACCTTTTGTAGCATCATATTCGTTTTGTAGTAAACGCGAAAGGCAGATTTCAGGATGTCTTACAATCAGTGTCCTGAGATCCTGGACCGTTTTAAAATTTAGCAGTTTTTCATCATCCTCTTAAAATCTGTAACCCCACCTTTGCAGGGTGATATATTGTACAGACTTCTTTCAGTTTGGAACAGACATTAGTAGAGCTTCAGTGCATGAGGTGATGTTCTAAAGGCTGATGAGTGATGCACATGATGGAAACATGTCAGTAACATGGAGAATGGAGAAATAGTGACATTTTCACTGTCAGCAACTCAAACAACACATGTGGTTTATATTCCTATGGCTTCTGTTTTGAAGTAACTTGGAATTTGAGTATTCTTACATTTTTCTTTATAAATAAATGATGCATTCTTCAATTTATAGTACCTTGATCCATAAGCTTGGGGGGTTTTTCATACGACGGAGGCTGGATGAAACACCAGATGGCCGGAAGGACATTCTCTACAGAGCTTTGCTCCATGGGGTATGTACGGTCTTTTGTCATCCTTAAAGCTGTTATAGTAGTTACCATAGTAGAAAGAAAAACAGACTTGACTGAGATTTAAAAAAGAAATAAACCTTATTGTCTATGTAATTATTGTTTGGGTAGGAAGTTGATGATTATTTCCTTTATCACCGAAACATAGTATTGGAGGAGCTGGCTTGTTATTATTCACGTTGAGTAAAATATTTTGTCAGTGGTGAAGTTAACAGGTTTTTGTTTAAGATTTAACTTTGCTGGGCTTATTCTAAGGAGGGAGGTCTTGCATTCCAGCTTATGCTAAGTTGGGCAGTCTCGAATTCATGGTTTACATTCTCCTTATACTCCAGCATATAGTTGAACTACTTCGACAGCAGCAGTTCTTGGAGATTTTTCTGGAAGGCACGCGCTCTAGGAGTGGAAAAACCTCCTGTGCTCGGGCAGGACTTTTGTCAGTCGTGGTAGATACTCTGTCTACTAATACCATCCCAGACATCTTGATAATACCTGTTGGAATCTCCTATGATCGTATTATTGAAGGTCACTACAATGGCGAACAGCTGGTAAGAGCACTCCCTTCCCAAACATCTTCTCCATTTTCAAGTTGTTTTGCTTTTAGAATTTGCTTTTGGAATCAACGAGGCAGTTTTAAGACAATTTAAAGCACTGTAGGAAGCATGGCAGAGTGGGTGTGGTGAGTAGCTTCTGTCTCTTGTGTCCATCTGATTGCTAGTGCTGATGTGGCGTTTTCCTGCACATCTTCTATATCCATTCATCTGTCGGTAGCTACGTGGGCTGCTTCCATACTTTGGCTGGTGTAAATAATGCTGCGGTAAACATGGGGTGCATGTAACCCTTTGAACTAGTGATTTTGCATTTTTGGGGTAAATATCCAGTAGTGTCATTATGGGATTGTAGGGTAGTTGTGTTTAATTTTTTGAGGAACCTCCGTGCTGTGTTCCACATTGGCTGCACTAGTTTGCATTCCCACTAGTGGTGCAAGAGGGGTCCTTTTCCTCCCCATCTTTGAAAGACTTGTTTCTTGTGTTTTTGATGCTAGACGTTCCGACAGGTGTGGTATCTCGTTGTAGTTTTGATTTGCATTTCCCTGATGACATGTCTGTGGGCATCTGTATGTCTTTTATGGAGAACTCTCTGTTCATGTCTTCTGCCCATTTTTAAAAAAAGATTTATTTATTAATTTATTTGAGAGTGAGAAGGTGCATGGAGGGGTTTGGGGAGGGAAAGAAGAAGAGGGAGAATCTCAAGCCGACTCTGCACTGAACATGGACACTGATGTGGGGCTTGATCTTATGACCCCAAGATCGTGACCTGATCCGAAACCAAGAATCGGATGCCTAACTGACTGTAGCACCCAGGGACCCCTGCCCATTTTTAATTGGATTATTTGGTTTTTTGGGGTTGAGTTGTTTAAGTTCTTTATGCTTTACATACTAACACTTTATTCTTTTTGTTGTGTATGTAGTTTGCAGATATCTTCTCCCATGCAGTAGGTTGTCTTTTAGCTTGGTTGAATGTTTCCTTTGCTATGCAGAAACTTTTTATTTTCATGTAGTCTTAATAGTTTATTTTTGCTTTTATTTCCCTTGTCTTGAGACATATCTAGAAAAATGTTGCTGTGCGGTGTCAGAGAAATTACTGCCTGTGCTCCCGTAAAGGACTTTTTATGGTTTCAGGTCTCATGTTTAGGTCTTTAATCCATTTTGAGTTTATTTTTGTGTATGGTGTAAGAAAGTGGTACAGTTTCACTCTTTTGCATATAGCTGTCCAGTTTTACCTTCACCATTTGTTGAAGAGAGTCTTTTTCCCATCGCACATTCTTGCCCCCTTTGTTGAAGAGTAATTGACCAAATAATTGTGGGTTTATTTCTGGACTTTCTGTTCCATTGATCTGTGTGTCTGTTTTTGTGCCAGTATCATAGTTTGCAGTGATTTTTTGTGAATGGCATAAACTGTGTACTAAGTGAATTAATGTAAAGTGTTCTGGTTTTCATTGACCAAACTGCCTCTTCCAATAAGAAGATGACATCTTTTAGCATTTTTGCACGCTAAACATTTTATGACAGGTCTCAGTCAATGAATATTTTTCTTCTTTATTTAGTGTTGTTCTTTATTTAGTGTTTTTCTTTACACAAACCTCCAGCTTCCATTAAAAAAATAAATGGCAGGTGCCTGGGTGGCTCAGTCAGTTAAGCATCTGGGTCTTGGTTTCGGCTCGGGTCATGATCTCAGTGTGGTGAAATTGAGCCCTGCGTCAGACTCTGCACTGGCTGGGGAGTCCGCTGGAGATTCTGTCTCCCTCCCTCCATGTGTCTTCCCCACACATGCTCTCTCTCTCTCTTTCTCAAATAAATAAATAAATAAATAAATAAATGCATTTTTTTGGATAACAGAATACCCGTTAGCTGTATTTCTTACCATGCTATTCTTTCAAAATTGGAATTTAGGGAAAACCTAAGAAGAATGAGAGCCTTTGGAGTGTAGCTAGAGGAGTTATCAGAATGTTACGAAAAAACTATGGATGTGTCAGAGTGGATTTTGCACAACCATTTTCCTTAAAGGTGAGTATCTGTTGGAAGGAAGCAGTGTTACAGCGTTGGCAAGCTCTGGTTGGAAGATGTGGGCTCTGTTCCTGCCTCTGCTGCCTCCTCTCTGTGTGACCTTGGTTTCTTCTCTGAAGACTATGTCAAGAATAGCATTTCCTAAATTTTCCTACCAAAGTATGCGTATTGACAAAGGATAGTATATGTTTGTCTTTGGGAGCAGCCAGGGTCAGCATTTGTTGCTGTCATTTCTTTTTTAGTTGATGAGAATTCTGCATATCGCTTTATGATGTATGTCGGTATTTTATATTATATTTTAAAATTCCCTTTAGGGAAAATTTTATAAAACTTACCCCTAAAATCTGGGTAACATTGACCGTCTAGGATGATGTTCTCCTGAGTGGAATCCACACGCACACATTCAAAGGGAGAGCGCCATTCTTGTGCAGAAGCCTGGCGCTGGGGGTTCCCTGAGGTCCTGGCGGTTTTGAATTCCGAAGATTTTCAAATTTGTGAAGGAGAAGGAGAAGGAGAAGGATGAGTAAGGGAATCGGGAGCCTGTGATAAGGAGCAGAGGTCCTACTTTTCCTTTTGTTCCATTCTTAGTTTTACTTCTAAGATCCTAACTGCCATGCTACGTGCTTTCTGGTCTTCCATGCTTTCCACTTTGAGGAGCCTCGTCATTTCTTACCACTTCATCTTTTTTAAAACTACCGCACAACTTCTCTATATTGTTATGATTTGCTTTTGGATTGAGGTTCTTTTGAATATTATGTGACCCTCAGGTCGTCAGAGTTCCTTTGAAAAGCATGGTTGTGTTGCTTCTTACTATATTGGGAATGTCAGATAATTTTGTGTAGATGTGAGAGAAGTTAAGTGTTTTCCTTTAACTTTTAAATAATTTTGTTTAAGGGATGCCTGACTGGCTCAGTTGGAAGAGCACGTGGCTCTTGATATTGGGGTTGTGAGTTCAAACCCCACGTTGGGTGTGGAGCCTGCTTAAAAAAGAAAAATTTTAAAACTTAAAAGAATTAAAAAAATACATAATTTTGCTTAAGCATCATTGTCTCATCTTTTGTATCATCATCAGTCCTTAGATTTCATGCTTGCCAAAATTCCGGGAGTCGTTTTGCACTTCTGAAGGTAGTTTAGGATGTAGAAAGTACTCCTGCTCTGTAGCATGGCTCATTTTATAAAGTGCTCCCTTTTTACTGTTTGAAGATTGAATTACATTTAATATACATAAGCAAAACAGGGAGAGTTAATGACTGTGTTGTGTTCCCCCTTCCTTCCACCCTCCCCAGGAGTATTTAGAAAGCCAAAGTCAGAAACCTGTGTCTGCTCCGCTCTCTCTGGAGCAAGCCTTGTTACCAGCTATAATTCCTTTAAGGTAAGATCTGTGGAAATTTTTTATACTAACTACACTGTCAGATACCTGTTATTTCTGGCATTGCGGAGAAAACTAGGTTAAGTTTATGAAGAGTGGGCTCCTTCTCATCTGCACTTCCTCACTTTGGGTAACTTTTCTCTTGGTCTGATAGAGGACAGTGAAGTGACAACATTTTCATATCAGTCTGGAGGTTTTTGATTATTTGCGTTATAACATCTTTTTGATTGTGTGAATCAGGAGTTCTTATTCGATTTATGCTTTTGGATGTTGGAACTAAATTCCTTCTGGTAGTAGCTTAGGTTATGCATATTGTACGTAAGTGTAGCATGTAAAAGAGTTTTCCCGTGTACGTTTCCCAGAACTCGAGTTAAATTGTAACTTAGAGAAATTAAGTATTAAGCCCCTCCCCTAATGAGTTCAGGTGCCACATTTTTAGAAATGTTTTAAAATGAGGTATCTTGGTTCATGCAGTTTTTTTGGCTGGTGGCTTTTTGGAGGTGATGTACCAGTAGATTATTTGGTCCTAACTCAATAAAATCTTTTGGTCAGGAGAGTGTATTAAATATGATAATGTATATCATGGAGGAAAATAATGCATTGAAATAATCTATTTGCGCTTTACATTCAGAATATGTAGTAATTGAAAGTATTTAAGACATTTATATCTTAGTTCTAGGTAGTTTGCTTCTAAAAGAATGTGGCTGTAGAGTCTAATTAAAAAAAAATCTTTGCAGACCCAGTGACGCTGCGGACAAAGAGGCAGACACATCCACGAACGAGTCCAGAAATGTAACAGATGAGCCCTTCCGAAGAAGACTGATTGCAAATCTAGCCGAGCACATCCTCTTCAGTGAGTACAGTACCAAACCCTTCAGTTCTGCAGCCCAGATCCAGCATGGTGCGGGGCACACAGCCTGGGTTTGGAATCTGCTGGAGTTCGCTTCTGCTGCTTCTCCTCCTACGATGCAGGGGCGATGGGAGGGTGTTAGAGGGTGATGCCGGCGGGGTGGGAGTTTGAAGTAAGCAATTGAAACATCGCTCGCGGTGCCTGAGAACTCAGAGCCACTCGTAGGGTCAGTCTTAGGCTTTTTAAGAAAATAGTCCTGTCAGAATGATTTATTGCCTCTGCTGTTCATGAATTTGTCTCTTTGAATTAATGAGTGGTGCGGCATCTAGGTTTATAGTTGTGTGTCCGTTTTCCTGCTGACCCCACGATTGTTTTTATCCAGCACATATCGAGGGGCTGTTCTGTATGTGTAAAGCTTCGTTTCAGTCGTGGGGACTCCCCAGGGAAGAGCTGGCAGTTCCACCTGAGCCCACGCTCGTCTGGGTGGCGTAGCTGGGCACAGGGAATCCAAGCGCAAGTGAGCCAGAGCAGAGTGAGCTGTGCGCAGAATTAGCTTTCTCTGAGCCCCAAATGCCAACACGTGTCATGTCGTAGAATCTGCTTCAAAATCGCGTGGCAGTGGCTGGCACCTTGGTGCACAGCCCAGGTGGGCTGTCCTTGCCGTCGCCTGTGCCTCACTCCCAGGCTGGCCAAACTCTCCGCACTTGCTGGCGACTCCATCATGGGGACATCTCACCTCCTCTGGCTCCCGCCCCTCCAGCTGCTCCTGCTCCCGCTTCACGGGAGGTCGGGGTGTTCTTCCTTAAAAGCACCTCTGTTTGTTTCTCTCTACCCAGGTAACAGGAATGTGGCTGTCTGGTCTCTAGAAGTATTTTTTTATGGTTTTTGTGTTGCACTGTTTTCCATTTATAACACAAACATTCATTCATGTTTTTAAAAAACTATAAGTATTCTTCTTAATGGCTATGAATATGGTACTTGGTACTGTTTTTCATTTTTTTAAACACTGGAGACAATACTCAATGTGAGTGAAATATTCATGAATTCATTGTCATCTCAGAAAATTCACACATGGTGTGTTTATTTCAGATTATTCCTTAGATGTTCTCGTATTTGATTTATATGATTATAATTTCTACAAATTCTGAGTATTGGGTTATGGACTACAGTACTTCTCAAATACGTCCTCTCTCCTCCATACCTCCAGCCTGGTCATTTCCTCCTCAGCCCAGTGAACGACACAGCATTTTCATCTTACCAATGAGGAAGCTGCGGCATGGGGGTTGAAGTCTTTTCCCCCAAGTTATGAAATTAGGCCACGTAGAAATCAGATTTGAGCCCACATTTTCTGCCTTCAGATCGGCTAGCCCTTCTCCCACTGTGCCTCTGTCCTCGGGTGACGGGGACTCTACCCACAGGAGAGAGCAGTCGGGGTAAAGCCAGAGCCTGGAGCCAGGAGTGAGCCCAGAAACATGGAACTGGGAGAAGTGGGAGACCCCGTAGAACTGCCAGAACAGGCTTCTATGTTGGGTCTTGGTATTTCCAGGAAAGTGTCTGTTGGCCATTGAGTGACTAAATTCCACTGGCCTGTTTGGAAAGTGGAGCGTCTTAGGCTGGATACTGGTACACGATGCTGATGATCTCTAATGAGGATCTGTTGGCCAGAACGTGGGATACTGTTGTTGTTTCCCTTCCGTAAATTCTAGTTACAGGAAATGTGGTAGAAGTAGAGGTGTTTATAGTTGTAAATACTCCCATTTCAGATTTAGGTACTTTTGGAGACTTTCCACTGTGTTAAAAAAAGGGAACCTAAAGTTCTGTGCTTGCCTTCCAGCTGCTAGCAAGTCCTGTGCCATTATGTCCACACACATCGTGGCCTGTCTGCTCCTCTACAGACACCGGCAGGTACGTCTGCCGTGTCCCTGCGGTCATGGGGGAAGTGTGCGAACGCCGTGTCAGCCGGTCAGCTACTTGGTCACAAACGGACATGGTCCTGTCCTGACTTCTGCTTTAGAGATAAGCAGTAAAGGAAGCCAAGCACCCTGCCCACGGGGGCTTACAGATCTGATGGAGGAATCTACGTGAAAAAAACTCCAAGACTGCGTCACATAGACAACAGTAGGACATTCTTGGAGTCCTACAGTTCACGTAAATAAGGCCTATTGCGTTGATGTGCAGTAAGAGTCTGACAGCTGATCACAGCTCTTGGACTTGTATTTCGGGCCATATTCCCTTCATGAACTTGACTAAGTACTGGGATGGAAAAGACTGTATCTGTGCCATCCACAGTCATGTTCTCAGTAACAAACGTAGTGTCTACGTGTGTGTATACACACGTATGCATACATATACATACATGTTACATGTGCGCACGTATATTACATATATGTGTAGGCATGATGTGAGTAGTTGTCAGATAAATATTTAAAATGAGGGAAATTGGGGCACCTGGGTGGCTCAGTCAGTTAAGTGTCTGCTTTAGGCTCAGGTCATGATCTCAGGGTCCTGGGGTCAAGCCCCACATCAGGCTCCTTGCTCAGCAGGGAGCCTACTTCTCCCTTTCCCTGCTTGTGCCCTCTCTCTCTCTCTCTCTCTCTCTCTCTCAAATAAAATCATTAAAAAATATATAAAATGAGGGGAATTACTGCTAAAACATAAGCATTTCTAACTTTTAGATGGCTTCTTCTGCCCTGTGTAATCTTAGATGCTCCTGTCACATGTTGTGACCAAAGCATTCTTTGGACATGAATATCTTGACTTTCTGAGGACCAGCTTTTCACCAGTTTTCTGACATCCTGTGCCCTAATACTCTGGCCTTTTTACTCTCTGTGCCAAAAGCAGGGTTCCTGGAAAGCCACGGCAGGAAATAAAATCCTCGGAATGGCTTCTGGGCCTCTTGGGAGGCAGGTTTTCCACTGTCATGAGACCATTTCTGTCTGTTTCTCTAGGGCATTGATCTCTCCACATTGGTGGAGGACTTCTTTGTGATAAAGGAGGAAGTCCTGGCTCGTGATTTTGACTTGGGCTTCTCAGGGAACTCAGAAGATGTCGTCATGCACGCCATACAGCTGCTGGGAAATTGTGTCACCATCACCCACACCAGCAGGAACGATGAATTTTTTATTACCCCCAGCACAACTATCCCGTCAGTCTTTGAACTCAACTTCTACAGCAATGGCGTGCTCCACGTCTTCATCATGGAGGCCATCATAGGTATGGCCTGCCCTGCAGCAGCTTCACGGGAGGGAGAAGGGCCTAAGCACATGGTAGTGTCTGTTGACTGCGATGATAGCCCCTTGTTGGAAGGGGATGTGTTGCTGTAGTTTTCTTTTTCAAATGCAAGTGTAATCTGCTGTATCAATCTAGCTTATTTTTTACACTTACTCATCAAGGAGTGGTTACTGAATTACTGTTGGCCTAGTATTACACTTAGTCCGAGGAGGGGAGGGAAGGTGTTTGGCTGTCAGGAGCTGGGAGTCTGAGGGAGACGAGAAAGCGTGCATGGCAGTGAAGTGAGTGTAGGGGGTGAAGAGGGAACAGGGGAGGCAGAGCGGGCGGGACCGAAGCCTCTGAGGAAGGGGTTAGAGAGAGCTGGGATCACATGGAATCCTGAGGATTGAATCCTGAAGGGATGTACTGACATTTTTCTCCAGTGAATGCAGATAATTCTCTTTGATGTATTCACGATCTATTCAGGTAATCCACGTTTTCTGAGCCAGCTGAAGTTCTCTTGGAGGAAAGGCTGTGGGCTTCACTGATGCTTTTCTCTCCTTAGCCTGCAGCCTTTACGCCGTTCTGAACAAGAGGGGCTCAGGGGGGCCTGCGGGGCCGTCCCCCAGCTTGATCAGCCAGGAGCAGCTGGTGCGGAAGGCCGCTAGCCTGTGCTACCTCCTCTCTAACGAAGGCACCATATCACTCGTAAGTGAAGCCTCCTTCACTTACGAAGGAGTGTGACCTGTTGTCTTTTTCTTGAGAATTTTTACAAAATTTTCATGAAAACATAAGCCACCTGTGTTTTTCTCTCAGACAGCGTTTGGTCTGTTACTGAGGCTGTACCTTCTATTCCTGAGTCTCAGTGACTCTTGGGCCAATATCTTGTTTGCTGTCTTTGTTTGCCGCTGGGGTCACTGCTCCAGTGAACCCTTCATGTGGTTGTGAGGCGTGACAGGACGGATTGCTCAACATTCTCCAGAGTCAGATCCAAAGTTACTGCGCTCTTTCTGTACGGAAGGCACTGGGTCAGAGGCCTGTAAATAGTTAACATGCCCAGAAGATAGGAGCCAGAAAACAGTCTTAAAAATCATCTGTTCAACCCCTTGTCACTTTACAAATGGGAAAACTAAGGCCCAGCAGGACCGATGAGCATTTATTTGTATTCAAGCACTTTTAGACATTCATAATGAGGCATACGTATTAAGCAATAGATTCTTTTCCCTCAAAATCATCAACAAATAGTATTCATATTCTACTTAAAATGTAATACTCTCTCCCACTTATTTGAATGTGTCCGGGGACATTCAGTTGTTTTGTTGTCATGATTGTTTTGTGAGGATGGCCCTCCACAGCGTTCTTTGCATGTGGTATATTGTCGCCCTGCTGGGGAATCTGTTTTGCATGAGCCTTGAGGGACAGGGCGGGATGGGGTGGGTGGATGCAGCTCCCAAGATTGACCTTGTCCTTTCCCTGGGTCATTTTTGAGTTATTTGAATATTTGTTCCCTCCTTCACCACCGCTACACACAGTGTTTATGGTAAGGCAGCATTTGCAGAGAAACTGTCTTGCGGAGGAAGAGAAGTCAGCGGCAGCAGGGCCCAGTGAGCGGTCCTTCTGAGGACTTGCCCCCAGCGGGGGAGACTTAGCTCGGGGCGCCCATGCAGGTGGAGCCACGTTGGGCGCTCTGCCAGACACAGAATGAGGGCTCTTCTTGGGCATTGCCCTTGACCATGCATTCATCAAGAGGGTGGGCCTTGGGAATCTTAGGACTTAACCAGTCGAACGAGGTAGCTGATATGGAAGCATTTGGCAGTTACCTTGTACAGCAGTTTTCTGTCTATAAAAAGGTCTGTGATGGGGTGCTTGGGTGGCTCAGTCCATTAAGCATCTGCCTTTGGCTCAGGTCATGATCCCAGGGTCCTGGGATTGAGCCCTGTGTCGGGCTCCCTGCTCAGCAGGGAGCCTGCTTCTCCATCTCTCTCTGCCCCTCCCTGTGCCCACTTGTGCTTTCTTTCTCTCTCAAATAAACAAAATCTTAAAATAAGTAAATAGATAAATAAAAGGTCAGTGACATTTTTATTTAAATGCCTTTTCTTCCCAGCCCTGCCAGACATTTCACCAAATTTGCCATGAAACAGTAGGAAGGTTTATCCAGTATGGCATTCTCATAGTGGCAGAGGTAAGAGGACTGGCTTTCCTTCATTTGCCTTTATTTGGTTTGCTCTTCCTTATCTTTTCTACCAATTATTTTAACCAGTGTTACAACCGATTATTTTAGCCAATAATTACATTTGGTATGTAGTCAAGTCCACATGAAGAGAAAAGAAAAGTAAGAATAGGGAGAGTAAACACCTTTGGGGATTATTTTCAGTATTTTGGTTACTTTTGTGTAACTGGTATTGTCTAGAACATATCTTAACTCTGTGACACCTGAAAGTTTTCATTCCAAGAGATGTTTTACATATCCGTGTGCTTGTAGCTTGTATACACACAGTTTTCTCTTTTGAGATTATAATTTTTATCGATTTAGTGTAGTAAGTATGGCCTGGGGAAGTAGATATCGGCTTACAGGGCATCTTTATTTGCCCTGTCTGGTAGCTCCCCTCGCTACCTCTTCCTTTCCTCCTTTCCTTCCCCACTGTCTCTCGAGTGACTCTGAGTTTGGAGGCAGAGGTGGGTTGACACCGTGAATGGCTAACAGAGAGTAGGGAGGCAGGGTGAGGGTCTTCTGGCCTGACGTCAGCCTCGCGAATGTTCGTGTGCCCGCACATGTTTATTTCCTGTTCGCCATCTCTTTGGCATAGCAAGATGACCAGGAAGACATTAGTCCTGGTCTTGCCGAGCAGCAGTGGGACAAGAAGCTTCCTGAGCCCTTGTCTTGGAGAAGCGACGAAGAAGACGAAGACAGTGATTTTGGTGAGGAGCAGCGAGATTGCTACCTGAAGGTACTTCGGTGAAGGGCTCTGGTGGGCGTTGCAGGGAGGAGTCGAGGTTTTTGTTGTCCCTAGTTGACGAGGTTCTTAGAAACTGAGCCTCTGCCGACTTATTCACATTTCTGGCCCCTACGAACCGACTGGGTTAATAATAAAGACACTCATGTTTGAGGTGAGTGAGTACCCCCGTTGCTCAGTATGGGTGCAGGTAATGGAAAAGGACACGGAAGTGCAAATTCAGGAAGGTGAACCTCATGAGAGACCCTTCCCGACCCTCTCATCGCCATCCCAGGGTGCAAACCTGTTTGCCTACACCTACGCTCCCTCCCGAAGAGGCAGGACTGTGTTCAGTCCTCACTGAGCCCAAGGAGCAGCTGCGGGGGAAGAGGGGAGAAGGAGAAGAAGGGGAAGGAGAGGGATCCCTCCCTCCCTCAGCGGCCACAGCCCATGGCTCTTTCCGAGTCCTGCTCGGTCTTGCCGGCCCTCCCCAGATGGCATACATTGAACCATTTGCCTTCAGTTAAAACAAATCCCATCACAGGAGAAACTTTAGGTTTTTTATAAGATGGATTGTCCTTGATTTGTCATTTTACAAGTTAATAATGACTCATTTTTTCTGAATACCTTAAGTGGATTACTCTGTAACACCCCTGATTTACACACACACACACACACACACACTCAGGAGGTGTCACTTCTGGAGCGTCCACCTGGCCTTTTTGGGTATGACCAGCTGTGAGTTGGGGCAGTTGCCTTGCGGCCGTTCCGCAGAGGGGCTGATCCGAGCGTGCCTGTTTTGGGTGGGGGCAGTGAGAGCCCCCTCTGCCACCCGGCACCCCGTCACACCCCACTGTGCCAGGAAGTGAGCCAAAGGCCAGGTGGGGTGACAGCAAGTGAGTGCTGGGGAAGACTGAGGTGACCTTGGTGGTCTTGCCATGTGTCTTCTTTCACACTCGAGTGAAACCTGGGAGGGTCCGGCCTGGGGACCCGCTGTGTTCAGTGATGACAATGTGTCATTCAGGTGTGCCGGTTTCTTCCGGGCAGCCGTTCAGTGACTGCAAACCTCAAGCACTGTCGAAAACTGACTCCCATAAAGAACCCGTTGCACAGCCAGGGGCCTTTCCAGCAGAGGGTCTGTGGCCGCGGAGCGGTGGGCTGCTCCGTGCGGAAGGTGCTGCGTCAGCGGGCTTGTTCTCTCCTTCTCTGTGACCTTGTGCCCCGGCCTTGCGCCCTCAGGTGAGCCAGTCCAAGGAGCACCAGCAGTTCATCACCTTCTTGCAGAGGCTCCTCGGGCCCTTGCTGGAGGCCTACAGCTCCGCTGCCATCTTCATCCACAACTTCAGTGGTCCGGTCCCTGAGCCCGAGTACCTGCAGAGGCTGCACAAGTACCTGGTGGCCAGGACGGAGAGGCGCGTCGCCGTGTATGGTAGGCCTGTCCCCGCTCCGGCCCCTTGTAAGAGCTGAGCCTTTCTGGATGACGGGAATCTGCTTGTGTAGGCCACTGGGAAAAAGTGCAAAATTAGCCCAACCGCCAACTTTGTAGGCTCCCGTTCTTGTCTGTTTCAGGATGTTCTAGAAGCGGAACGAAGCAGTTCTATACTCTTGGGTGTGGCTTTTTTCACTTAACATGATAAGTGGAGTCCTGCGTGTTTGTGCGTGTGCATGTGTGTGTACTCCTGTTGCTTTAGAGTGTTCCCCCATATCACTGTTTACGGCATCCGACGTGTGACCCTTGTTGACGGCTGGGGGGTCAGGGTGCCGGCACTCGAGAGCCGCAGTGGCTGGTGCAGCCGTGAACGTGCTTGAACGCGCCGGCACGACCCTGTGCCCTCTTTGCGCTGGGCCGTGTGTAGAAGTAGCAGGCCTGTGAGCGCCTGCGTGGGCCCGCGGGGGGCTCCTGGGGGGGGGTGCCATTCTGCACCCCGGCAGCGGCGTGTTTCCAGGGCTCCGTGTCCGGCTCATGCTCGGTCGTGTCTGCGTGATGAGAGGTGCGACCGGGGTGGGAGCAGTGTTTCTCTGCAGTGATGGCTTAGGACTGAAACTGCTTGGAATCAAGACATTTTAGAGCCAGAAGGGATCTCGAGATAATTTCTCTCTAGACATCTCTCCATACCCATATAGACCCCTGGAGTTCTGGATTTCTCTCTAGATAGCTGTCGTAGCTCCCACAGCTAGTGAATGGGCACACCCGGCTGCAGGGGCTCTTTTCTCTGCCCTCTAGGTTTGTGCTCTCTCCAGCTCCGCTGGTTAAGGTCTCCTCCGTGTTTCACTGTGCAGCCGAACAGAATTTCTACCCACGGTCTTGTTCGCTTCTCTCAAAAACCGTTCAAGACGGGTGTTATAGGGGTTTCTCCTTCTCTTCCTTTCTCTCATTTCCTCCCTCCTTCTCTCTCTCTTTTCTTCTTGCTCTTTTGGTCTTAAAAGATGACAGAATAAGTTTAAAGAAACAGTGGATCCTTTGAGACCTCCCAGCATGCCAGTGATAGGGGCGGCACTGGACCCCAGTCTGCTGACTGGCTCAGATCCTCTCCAGGGCCTCCCACACTTTCTTACTGTGGGTGCTGGGGGTTTCATGTTTGCCGGGCCCCAGCTTTTCACAAGGTCTTATCCTTCCTCTGCAGCCGAGAGTGCCACTTACTGCCTTGTGAAGAACGCTGTGAAAATGTTTAAGGATATCGGGGTGAGTTCCCGCTGCTTATGGTAGGAAGGCACATGTTAACGTCTCTTTCTGCTCAGACCTGGTCTGTTTGAGCCACCTGCATTTGGGTGGGCTCTGAAAAAGCAGTTTCTGCTGGACTGATCATGACCACATTTCTGGGGATTGGGAGGGGGACAGGCTTATAGAAAGTGGGACACACCAGTACAGATTTATTTGAATGTTCCAGAATTTTCCTGGTTTTCACCTTCATCCCTAAGCTGTTTACATATAACAAGTGGCAGTCCATTTCAACATGCTACTACAATTTTCGGCAGGGATGTTAGTTACGTCATAGGATTTTCAGTTACTGTGTTTCTACCGGTATTGCTGGAAGTTTCCTCTGCTGTACTGTACTCCTTGTGTCATACATGACAGGAGTTCCGTGGAGGTACTCATGGCCTTTGTGAGGAACTCTTTGTGACTGAATTCTAACACAGATTTTAAAGTATAGTATGCTGATTGGACTCTATCCAAAAGAAACCCATCGCACCTGCCTCCATAACCCTCCTCATGAACCCCCACACGTCCATTTATTTAAAACCAGGATACAGTGTTAGGTGCCTTGACTGCTTTTTGGGTCTAGAACAAAGGTCAGGGTTGGTGACAGAAATATCTTCTTGTTTTGATTTGTCTTTAATTTCAACTTTCTCTCTAGGTTTTCAAAGAGACCAAACAAAAGAGAGTGTCCATTTTAGAACTCAGCAGCACGTTTCTACCTCAGTGCAACCGGCAAAAACTCCTAGAGTACATTCTGAGTTTCGTGGTGCTGTAGGTTAGTCCTGGCACCTCTGGCAAGTGGAGGGTATCAGACGAGTCCCTCGCAGGCTCCAGCCTCTGGCTCAAGAGCTGAAGGTGCCGACATGTGGACAGGCCTGCCCTGTCCTGCTGTGACGTGCTGGAAGACAAGTGCCTTCCCCTCCGCGGGGCTGTGCTTACCCCCTCCTCCCGAGATGACACAGCAGCCTCCGTGGGACGCTTGGGGGCCCCCAGCCTCCGCTTGCAACTCATCGTCAGTAGGTGACGCAACGAAATCTCAAAAAATTATTTTGGAATTTATTAAAGATTTCCCTTTTAAGTATCACCGTTAAGGACTAAATTACTGTGATGGGCACAAAAATGTAGATTCATTCTAGAACCGAATCTTACATAGTATACTTAATACTGTCGGATAATTTGTCGATACATTTTCTGATTAATGGTTAATGCTTCCTTGAAACATAATTGAGTCATCCATTCACTGGTTTTCTTTTTTTTTTTTTTTCGGTTTTATCTTCATCAATAGTAGCTAATTTTAAAGGGGACACCTTTCATCCAAAGTGCTTTACAAATGAATGGGCTGATCTAGATCACACCCAGGTATCACTGTGCTGTCCTTCGCAGTCAGATTTAGAAAGCGTTTGACAAGCTACATGAAAACACAATATTAGTTTAGGTCAGAAATAGAGCTAATGTGATCAAACAGTTCACATCAGGAGGTAGATTTGGCTGGCAGAGTTCAAGGTAAACTTGGCCAGAACACTGACTTTGAACTTTTTGCTCATATAAAAAAGTGCCATGAGTTTTAAATGACCAGCAAGTATTTAGGAATGACACCTGTTTTATGTCCATACCCCTTCCCACCCCCCAGGTGGCACCTGCCTCTCCTGGGTACAGCTGTTTCTTGGAGATTCTCCAACCAAACAGCAACTGTCCTAACTTGACTAGCCTGATAGACTGTGCGAGCGGAAAGTGCTGTGGCTCGAGGCTGCTGACCCCGGGCTCTCATGTACTGTGTATAGGTTGTGCACTACACCCAGTCCGCGTGACTGGTGCCCACTCAAGTTGTGTGGTGCGCAACCTGTGCCACGTGTGTGGTAGCCCAATTGACTGCTCCGTGGTTGGAGGCAGTTACAAATTTTTAGCTGTGAGGGAAAACCATGTTTTTTTAAAAAATGTGTATGGTTATATGCCTAAACCCTAATGCCACATGGTGGCAAATTATGATGAAAAATTGTCTGTTCATAATGGGTAGGTGCCTTCGTAGGAGCAGGGAGCATTACTGTCCATTGTGGTAACTGTGGTGATTTCATAAAGATCATGTGATATTAAAACATTTTCTGACAGCTTACTGTTTCTTCTCTCCAATGGTATTACGGAATTAGGAATTTTTCCTGGTGAATATTGCATATAGTCTTTGATTTGGAAGTACTGAGAATTAAGTTTGTACTTTCAGAAGCTTGGACTTGAAACACTAATGGCGTCTCATGAATATCCCATGTGTGTTGGGAGAAGGAAGGGGACTGACCGGTACTTCACATCGTATGAAAGATCTCGTCTGAAACTCATAGCAATAATGCTGTGCTGTCGTGAGCTTTTTCCAGTCTTCTCAGATTCTGTGTTTAAAATCTATTTGTTCTTTGTAGGAATTCATGTGCCCTTAGCCATTGTCAGTGTTGTTGCGGCTCTGGTGTGGAGCAGGGTCCCCGCCTGGTAGTGCTCTGTTGTACTAATGGGGACGGAGGAACACTTCTTCTGTTGGCTGGAGCCGTGCATGTGGGGGACCCCCAGGGAGACTTACTTATTCCCACGGTATTCTTTTTCTGGACGGCAGTCACTGCACTAGTCTCTCTCATTCTCCCTCTAAATTATAGATCAAGGATTGCTCAAGCTCTCTCTGAGTTACCTGGGAAGTCAAGGCTGGGACTGATTTCGCGTGGACTCTACTGCCTGGCCTGTGACTTCTGCTAAGGGCTGCTGTGCTAGCCTGAGCAGGGAACAATGGCTTCTCTGGCTTCATTTTTCTTTTCAGTTGGTTTGTTTCTAGAAATGTAATCAGATGCTTTGGAGAATGCAATATATGATTTGCTAGCTCTCTCGCAACTTAACTCACTGTGAGAATAAATATGCATGCTTTTTGTAATTAACTGGTGCTTTGAAAACCTTTTTTAAGGAAGAAAAAATCTCAACCAAAGTTATGCTCATCCCGACAAGCTGACCCTGAGTTAATTTTAGCACAACTCATTCTTCAGTGCCTCATTACTGAAAAAAAAAAACATACATCATCACAGTAAGGCTTCCAGATAGCACTGTTTTGCTTAAAGATTTATTCTCACTGTTTTCCAAAAGCGAATGGCTTCCATGTAAGATTATACAAACTAGGTGCTTGTAAATAATTTATTACAGTTTACTCTACTGCATTTCTCTAAAACTGAAATGCATGCCCTCCAGGGGAAGACTGTGAGTCAAATTAAAACAACAAAAAAAACAAAATCCAATAATAAGCAATATGAATCTGCACGCTTTCCAACTGAGGATGTCCTAAGTGATATCAGAAAAGAGGAAGGATTTTTTTGTCCCCTTAAATTTCAAGAAAAGCAAAGGGAAGGAACTTGTGTGAGACGTGTAGAACTCGTAGCACAGAACTAGTAACTCCTTAGTCTGCCTTCTCAGATCTGTTCAGTCTCTCGAAGTCATGAGGATAAGTAGAGAAAATACATCAGGGATTTCCATGAATGTAAACTCAGATTATGGAACTTCCAGGCACCTGAAGGGGAAAAGCATTTCCCATGGTTCTCCATGTAATCTGAGTGCTCTGTGAGATGTTCGTTGGTGTTTCGTGGAGGTGTTGCTGGTAAAATAAATGTGTACATGGATCCCCTTGTTTTAGAAACTCACAGTGCACTCTAGCACGGCGTGGGCTCAGGCTGTGCTGGTCCCAGGCCTGTTCAATGCAGCATTTCCAAACTGTTGGGATGCCAGGACCTCTTTCCCCCTTGGCATCCCTATGAACCTCTCACTAGTGTGCCATGGAAAACAATTTGGGAAACACTATGTTAGGTAGTTCTCTAAGGGGACAAACCAATGCAGAATGCTAGGGAGGCAGAATTTGCATGCATTTTGTACAATCACCTATTAGAGTTAGTTGGATGTATGTTCTCCCCCTGGAGACGATAAGCACAGAAAACTCTAATATAGGCGGTCAGGTCTCTTTCCGTTGATGGAGAGATCAGCCGTCCATGATCCTGGGTTTTTCCCTGAAAGTAATAAAGTTAACATAAGGATTAATTGGGGTAAATAATTAAGATTTTAATTCAGATCTAGAAGAAAATATTGCACAACTGAATGCAGATTTTTATCCATAGATAGTTCTAGTGTTTAGATATGATTAAGACCTATCATTGAAGTTTATAAGACTTAATTTGGATGTAATCTGTTTTTTAAAATGCTCTTTTTAGGAACTTGAGACTTGGCATCTGGTGTTCTAGTTTAATACAAACTAATGATTGCATTTGAAAGAATTTTGACTTTATTTCTAAACATCTAGAGCTCTGAAATGCCTTGATGGAAGGTTATTTTCCTGTTGTACAAAGAAATGTTAAATTGTTGTAAAAAGAATTACTATAAAGTACTGTGAAAGAATACTGCGTGATTTTGTGAGCGAAACTTATTTGGAAACGTTGTTTGATTTTTATGCCTGTTAATGTATTGTAAGAAGCACAGAAGTGTAGTTTTGTTTTAATAAACCCAAAAATGAGTATATTCTTGATGTCTTGCATTTGTAATTAAAAGTTCCCAACATAATTCATTAGATAAACAATTGTTCCTGTTTGATTTTACATAAAACTTCATTAAAATGCTTATAGGAGATAATCTTACATAAATGTATGAGCCTGCCGTGCATGGTGTTATTACTGATCCGTAGCTCTCCAAATTTGATCAAGCATTTGCTCGACTTAGTACATATTCTCATTACAGAGATATACTTTGAGTTTCTGTAAAGATTCCTTTAAACTTGGTGCTTCTGTCATATTCTTATGTACTGAAGTCTTGGGTTATTTTCCACTAGTTCATAATAGTTGCTCAAAAAATATTAGTTGACCTTTTTTTGACAAGTAAGGCAAGTATTTTCTTACAGCACTATTTTCTGTGGATCCTTCAAAATCACTCAGGGCAGCCTTCTCAAGAGCGTGCCCTCTGCTGTCCATGTCCTTTGGGTACGTAACATAGCTGTGAACCCTATATTCAAGACCATCCCATCTGTTTTCCACCAGACCCTCTATCTGAACTTTGTACTTTCCCCCTCTGGTTTGCTCTGGAAGACTGTTGCCAGGATTATGTCCTTGCCCTTCGGTGCATTCATATCTTCCTTTGCATTAGCAACTCCCTTGCTGTGGCCAAATGTGACCTTCCCTTTATCATACCAAATTCCATTTTTTACAACCACTCACTCTAAGTGGATGTTCTTTTTGCAGGCTAATCTCTTAATGTTCAGTTCGATGCCCACTCATTTTAGTCTTGTTTGTTCCTTTTTTTAACACCTTGCAGTCTGTCTCCTACACACATAGCTAGTAAAATTCTTATGTCCCTCCTTGACAAATACAAAAGGGTTTTCCTAATTGCTGCCCATAGCACCTGTGATGTCCATACCGCAGCCTGGCCTCTCTGAGATGCTGCTTCTGTCCCAGTTTCCTTGGCTCTCCGGTATTCTGTCTCCTTTAGGACTCCACCTTCTCCAGCTCTTTTTTTTTTTTTTTCCCCCCCCTCTTTTTCAAATGGTCCTGGTTTTTTTGCTGGAGACTCTGAGTTAAAAAAGTCAATTCTGTCTGAAATCTGTTTTTTATATGAAAGTACCCAACTTTTACAACAAACAATGTGATCACGTACAATGGCTTGCTGGGCCGTTTCTGGCTTGTCAGTGGCCAGTTCATGTCTTCTGGCCTGGGAGAAAACAGCTATGAAAGCACCAGTTCTAGATGTCCCTTCCAGGAGTCAGAGCACAATCCATTGTTGGGAGGTTGACCTTGTGCATTTGAGGTAAGCAGGGATGAAGTCTCAAAGCAAAGCTCTGATGATGACCACTGGGTAATGTTTAACCAGGCAGGCAGCAGGCATCCGTGTCAACCTTTGATGTCTGGCTCATTGCTGTGGCCACATCAAGGAAAGGGTATGTCAAAACAAGCCAGGGTTGCCACTGTTGGTGGCCTTGGTGCTAGTGACAAAGCTACGTCTAGCAGGAAGTGATGACAATAAGTGCACAAGCTCAATTTCCAGCCTTTTGGGAAAACGTCCTGCCACCTTCATATTACAGGTCAGTTGAAAATTAGAAGAGACCCCTGCAAACACCGGTTGAAATTCCTTAAGTCACATAAGATAGAGAAATTAGTAGAAGTGACGTGCCTACGTAAGGCAAGAGCAGACATGGGTTTCCCCTTGGTTCCTTTTGGTTTCTTTACCGGTGGGCTGATCCTATACCTAGACACCCATTTGCCTGCCGTGGTCCCTTTGTAATCTTAATAATGCCCTTTTTGATTCTCAGGAGCATCTAGGTGTAGATAATAGAGTACATGGTCACCATATCCATGGGGCATGCACCTGCCACTCAGTGACAAAAAACATCCTGCTAGAGTTGAGAAAGAAGCTACCTTTTGGGGATACCATTAGCTTATTATAAAAGAGAGACATGGAAATTATTTACATGATGAAAGATTTCACAACTTCATTGGAATGGGCAGCTTCACTGGGTGCCATTTCGATAATGATTTACTTCAGTCTACATGCTTTCTGAGAATGTCACCATCTCTAAAGAAGAAATAATCTGTCATGCAGAACTACTTTGGTGTCTCCGTATTCTGGGAGGAGAAATTTATCTCTACCTTTCCTGCTAACTGGTTGAATCTCTCCAGCCTTTAGAGTCTGATCCAACAGCAACGGCTGTTGCTTGCAATATTTTTCCTTGAGATTTTTCTGGAAGCATAATATGTCCTTTGGTTACATTTGGTTTCAGCTATACTCCTTTGGGGAAGGAGCTTTCTAAATGCCTGTCCTGCCAGAACTTTGGCCACTGTAGTTCATCCTCTACTACACTTTTTTTTTTTTTTTAAACATACTCAGGGATTTACCGCCTGAGAACTTTAAGCATCTTCGAATTTACTTTTAAGGAAATGTTCATAAACATCTAGTTTCTGCTTCTTGAACCAATCTGAGCACTTAACGGGGAGATGGCAGGGAAAGAGTCCAGATGGTCTCCAAGTAATCTCTCGGTTTTCCAGAATCCCACTAAGTGCATCTCCCGTAGTACTTCTGGAGCATTTGAGGCCAAATGAATATGTTTGTTGTTTCTCTATGGTTCAAATAGTGAGCAAAATATCCCTGCTTCTATTTGTATGATTCTAGGCATCACACGGGCAGAGAGCTACCCGTCTCCCTTCACTTAATAAGGAAAAACCAGAACAACGTGGGACCCACGACAAGGATATCAGGTAGGGGTTGAATATGTCCTCTCTATACTGGTCCGTGGTTCTCAAGAAGGATCACCAGACAAACAGCATCAGCACCACTTGTTGGAAAAACAAATACTTCAGGCCCCACCCCAAGTGCCCAGCAATCTGTTTTAACCAACCCTCAGGGACTCGATAGAGTTTGAGACCCCTGTTCTAGTTATACTGCCTTGGCAAAAATTAGAGTTCCACATTGTACTCAGGAAGTGAAAACGAGGTGCAAAGGTGAGTTGATAAGTACCCTGTCCAAAACGGCTTCTTCTCAGGAAAGTATGAAAGCCACCAAGTGAACTTGACAGCACTGGGCTACAGGATAACGGGCCTTGGACCCTCTATGCATGTCGGGGTACATCTGTATTGGGCCATGGTAATACTGAGCCTTGTCATTGCTCAGCCGTCTCTGTAGGGTAAGGGCAAGCGTACCTTCAGCCTCATGTGACTTGTCATCTGGATGGTTCTCAGCACTCAGTTTATCAAAAGGAAGGCTTGCCTAAGTTTTGTTCTGTATGTGAATTTTATAAGGCCCTTCAAATCCTTTTTTAAAAAATGTTTAGTAAAAAGTCTTACACATTGTTTTGCTGGAGCCAGTTAACGTTCTTCTAGTTTCACATTATCATGTAATTTTCCACGTTCCACACTAAATGCAGGAATTATCTGGACATCACGGCTTGGGAGTTCACTCATGGTGTTTGCTGGTTTGCATCCCGTTTGACTGGTGGTCCGATGATGATGCTTCTGTTCCAGATTCTTTCCTCCACTTCCTGTGTGAGCACGGG